CGAGGTTCTGGGAGCCCACCTCGGGGTGGATCCTCTCCCTGTTCCCCGATGCCACGTTCACAGCCCCCCGAGCAGGAGATGGGGTTGGAGGGGCCGAGATTGGCCCTCGGCAAGGGAAGAGGGCAGCGGTAAAAATAACCCCTGGGCCAGCTCCAGCCCATTGTGGCTTCCTGCGATTTACAGCTCTTCCCTGGGGGAAGAGGCAGGAACCGGCCAGCTCGGGGCCGCCTTTGACCCTTTCACCGCCACCAGAAGGATCTTTGCTCCGTCTTCGCTGCCCGGGCAGGATCCTGGGGAGGGGGACTGCGGGGGGCTCCGGCTCCTGAGCTGCCCCAGCACCCCGGGGTGCCTGGARAAGGAGAAGCTGCTGAGGGGACGCGGTTTCCCTGCCCCGTTCCTGACCCGCCGAGTGCGGACAGAGAGGCTCGGAGGCAAAATCTGCTGCAGATCCCGGAATCCCGGCGGGTTCCCGTAAGGAGGCGAGGGAGGAGGGGAGCTGGAGCTGCAGGAGGAGGGCAGGGCTGCCAAAGGAGGGTCAGGCTGGCAGGGCCGGCACAGGGTGGGCTCCTCCCGGCGGGGCTGGCCTGGGCTGGCACGGGTTAATGGGGTGGCTCTTCCTCTTCCTCATCCTCCTCTATATGAGGCTGCTGCCGGCTCTGGGCTCAGCTTGCCGCGGCAGCCAGAGGGGCTGGAGCTGAGACTGGAGCATCCCTGCATCCCATCCCTGCATCCCATCCCTGCATCCCATCACTGCAGATCATCCCTGCATCCCATCCCTGCATCAAACCTCTACATCCCATCCTTGCATCCCATCCCTGCATCCCCGAGCGGGCTCAGGTGAGTGAGAGCATCCCCCCGGTCCCGGCAGCGGAGGGGGAGGGCGCAGCCGCTCATCCCTCGGGAGCACCGGGCCGCCCAATCGGCGTGCCTCAGTTTCCCCGTCTGTGCTCCGGGGTGGGTGCGGTGTGGAGCCGCGTGGCAGAGGGTTCCTGGGCTGTTCGCTGCCGTGAGCCCCGTGTCCCTGCTGTCCCCAGGGCCGGTGATGGGTGTCCCTGCTGTCCCCAGGGCCGGTGATGGGTGTCCCTGCTGTCCCCAGGGCCGGTGATGGGTGTTGGGGCCGTTTCTGCAGTGTGGAACCATCGCTTCGGGCATTCACAGCCCTCGCCCCGAACTCCTCCCCACCGCCCGATCCCCACACGGTGCCGGGGCGAGCTGAGCGAGGGCCAGAGCAGCCCAGGGCTACCAAAACCCCCCTGGCCCCGTGCCCCGCAGGGAGAAAGGGAGGATCCTCCCCGCCAGCCCGGCCTGGCTGTGTGGGGCAGGGACCCCCGGACCCCCGGCCGTGGGGCAGCTCTCCCGAGCCCGGCTTTGTTCCGCCGCTCGGGAAGGGAAGGCGGCGGCCGGCTCCGGTATTTTTTCCTGTTGGAAGCCGCTCCTGGGATGCGGGTGAAGCCGGCGGATGCTCGGCGCTTCTCCCTTCCTGCCCCGGGGCTGTTCGTGCCTGGGCTGGMGGGACTCGCTGTCTGTGTGGGATTGAGGGGACCCTCAGCTCYGCTTCACCCCATCCTCCTCCTCCTCGGGGCTGACCCTGACTCTGCTCTCTCCTTCCAGGGCTGAATCCAAGCGCCGAGCAAAGCTCCAGAGTCTCCCCAGCTGCCACAGCGGACCTCCCCGGTCACTTTGAGGGCAGCAGAGTGACCAGCAGAGTGACCAGCAGAGTGACCAGCAGAGTGACCAGCAGCGCCTTTCGGGGGCGATGGTGCCCTTGGGCAGCCCCAGCCTCGCCGTCTGCGCCTCCAGCAACCTTCGCCTCATGGCCCCGGGCCGCGGGTCCCCGCTGGCCTGGCTGAACCGGGCTCCCGAGTGCCCGCAGGGRCCGGGGGGMAGCGGGGGCCGGAGACCCAGCGCCGTGGAGCGGCTGGAGGCCGACAAAGCCAAATACGTCAAATCGCAGCAAGTGATCAACCGGCGGCAGGAGCCGGCGCTGCGGGGCTCGCCCCGGCTGTCCCCGCACGGCCGGCGMTTGCTGTCCCGGCAGCCGTGCGGGGAGCTGTGCCCGGGCTCGGAGCTGGCCCGGGACGGGCCCCAGTCCCCCGTGTCGCGCCGCGGCGGCGGCAGGCGCCTGCTGAGACCCGACTCGCTCGTCATCTACCGGCAGAAACGGGACTGCCTGGGCGGGGACAAGGAGAACACCAAGGGCTCGGGGCTGGTGCGGCGCCTCTTCCAGGGACCCCTCAGAGACAAAGCCCCCAGCTCGCCCCCAGCCAGGGCGCTGGGCGAGGCACCGCCGGCTCCCCGGAGCCCCGAGACCCCCATGCTTTGGGCGCCCGCGGGGAAGGAGGAGGCGCGGACAGCGGGAGGCGACAGCGGCGGTGACAGCGGTGGCATCTTGGCGCAGCCCCCCGGGACCCCCGGGAAGGAACCGCTGGCTCTGCGCGTGTCGCTGCCTCTCTCGGAGAAGGAGCGATTCTTCAACTACTGCGGGCTGGACCGGGCGCTGGTGGAGCTGCTGGGCCGGGAGCGCTTCGGGCCGGCGGGCTGGGACAGCGCTTCGGTCCGGCCCCCGGGATCCTGCGAGTCCGAGCCCGGCCGGGCCTCCCAGGGCAGCGAGGGGGACGCGGGGCCGGGCGAGGAGGAGCCGGAYCCCCGGCTGGGCTCGGCCGTCTCGGTGGTGGAACGCAACGCCCGGGTCATCAAGTGGCTCTACGGCTGCCAGAGAGCCTGGGCGGCTGCCAAGGAATCCACGGTGTGAGCGGGGACAGCCTGGCCGGGTCCGGGACACGCGTGTGGCTCCTGCGGGCCGGACGTGGCCCCTCGCCCATCCTGGATGTGGCCAGTGGGCTGGTGGCAGCCGTGGCCCCTGGGTGGCCACGAGGTCCCCAGGCTGAGCGCGGTGGGGACACCTGAGGGGAGGTGAGGAAGGGACAAGGGACACCCCCGGGTGAGTCTCTCCGTGGCCTCAGGGCTGGCAGGCTCCTGTCCCTCTGCTGTCACCCATCTTCCCATCCTCTCTGTCCCCAGCCCAGGGGGGTGGGATGCGGCTGCAGCCCCCACTGACCATCCCTGTCCCGCTCCAGGGCAGTGGGCAGAGCCCGAGCCCCCTGCCAGGGGCAGTGCCCACCCCACAGCCCCCTCCTCTCCAGCAGGGGCTGCTGGGGCCAGAGCAGCGCTCAATAAATCCGTTGGTTTGGTTTTTTTTTGTAGCCTGGCAGCGTGTGTGGTTGCGGGAGGACCCTCCAGGGATGCGGGGCAGCTCCCCCTCCCCACGGTGGGGGTTGTGCTGCTTTTGGGGTTCGTGGGGCTGTTGGGGGGAGTGAGGGTGAGGAAAGCACCAGGCAGAGCTCGGGGAAAAGGGGCACTTTGGGGGTTTTTAGTGCAGATRTGACACCCAAACCCACGGCAGAGCCGTCGGGCACGGGCAGGGGCTGCCCACCAGCAATGGGGGGG